TGATGAAGCCCCAGCACCATCCAACATCTGTTTTCCAAGGCTGACTGGAAGTGAGGTGATACCGTGCAGGCAGTTTCAGGAGGGGGGAGGCTTAGGGATTTTCTCTCTCAACCTCTGATAGTGGGCTCAGCATGTTCACACTGTCCTAAGGGTACCTCAGAACTGAATCTTTCTGGAGTCTCCCGGAATAAACTTAAAAGGCCGAGTTCAAAGTATTTTTCAGAAGTAATAAAGAGGTCAGGGCAGTTCTCAGCATTGCAGCTGCAGCTCGAGGCTCAGGGATTTTTCCATGTCGAGATTTGCCCCTTCCATCACTTTTCCCCCTTCGGGTTCCTTGTGAGTGCCCAGTACCTGGTACCAAGGGAGACTATGTTTATTTTTGTAAATGGTTTTAAAAGAATGACAAGGAAATTGCAAATGGATCTGAGTAAAGATAGAAAAAGACCACAAAGGAGAAGACACTTTAGCAATAAGACAGAGGAGCACTGAGCTCTGCCAGCATCTCTGCAGGGTCTGCCAGGTTGTTATGCATCCCTCAGCTTACACTGACAGCCCCTTGCCCGTGGCAGTCGGAGAGGGACAGTTGTCCCATGGCCGATGGGCTTGAGGGGACTTTGACATGCTGCAGAGGCTGCCGCACTGCTCTCTGGGCTCTGCACATGCGCTGGCTCTGTGCTTATGGGACCAGGGTGGTTTAATTAAAGGTGGCAAAGCTGCCTCCAGAGTCACCTCTGCAAAGCATCAACTGCACGTGCAGTGCCTGCGAGCCGCTGGCATGGCGTGTGTTGGCCCGCTTCACCGGCTGCTTGCAGCTCCTGAAGTGCTTTCAGAGGGCAATCACTTCCCAGTGTCGAGTGCTCTCAATCGCCCATATTTTTGGAATTGTTCAAGTCCTCCCCCAACACCATCCTCCTTTCCAAAGATGCCAGCTGAGAACTTTCCACATCCAAGCCCCTGCTGTGCATCCCCCCAGGACACCGGAGATGCAGTTTGTGGTGGGACACCTGCATCTGCTGGGCAGTGGCAACAAACCCTTCCTGCAGGAAGGGGATGGCAGTGGCACCGATGGCAGAGTCTCCAGGGGCACATGTGCACCTTGTGTCTGGGTCACGATTACAGCCACTGGACAGCCCAGGCTGTCCTTGTGGCCACCAGACCTGGCTGGAAGGGGGATGGTGCTCACATATGGGTTTCTCCCAGAACCCTGCATTCAAACACGGCCCAAGGAAATAGCAGCTGCCCCAGAGGTTCTGTCCCTCCGACAGGGGTGACACCAAGCTCCTTCACCCCAGGGAAGGGGAGAGTTCGCCCACGTGCCCCTCTGACAAGCCTGTGTGTCTGACTCTGATCTGTCTCCCCCAGGTATCTCTCAGCCATGAGTGCACTCGCGCCATCATGAAGCTGATGTACTGCCCGCACTGCCGGGGCATGTCCAGCGTGAAGCCATGCAACAACTACTGCCTGAACGTCGTGAAGGGCTGCCTGGCCAACCAAGCAGACCTGAACACTGAGTGGAAGTACCTGATGGGTAAGATGACTTTACTCTGCTGCAGCACAGCTGCCTCTCATGGCAACTTTTGAACACTCTGAGGTAGTGTTTGGAGAGTAAACAAAGGACCGTTGGAGGCTCTTTTACACCACGGTTTCTCTGTCTGTGATCTGATGCCTAGAAGCTATTGCAGGACATTTTGCTGGGCTTTAATACCATTAAAAAGGACACTGCTGGGCTGGCTAACAAGGGCTTAAAGAGTTTCATCTTGCCTGTGCTCATTTGGGATTGCCCACGCTTTGCATTCAAGTAATTTTTCCTTCCCTCCCAAGTGTTGAAGCTTAGGGACAGATCCTGCCACCTGTACATTGTCAGAGCTACCTCCTCATCCATACCAGAGCGCTTGTGAGAGCACAGGAGAAGCACTTGCTGCCCTCCTTGGCAGGTAGTCTAGAAACTAGCCATAAACTGTTTCCATGGGTAGAGAGCAAAGGGATCAGGAGTGCCTACTTCTAAATGGGAGGAGGTGTCTTTAATACATGGGGAGAGAGAAGTCACAGGCATTGCCAGGAATGGGAAAATTAGACTTGTATTTTAAATAAGAAAAAAGCTCATTTCTTTTTTGTTTTGTCACTCAGCTAAGATGATGGGTCTCTTATAGTGGGTTGTATGTGTATGGAGATGTCCATTTCATTGAGTTTAAAGCCAGAAATATCACTGTGATGGTGTGGTCTGATCTCCTGTGCAACACAGGCTGGAGAACTTCTACCAGGCGTTTCTGCAGGAAATCCTGCATTGCCTGATCAGACCCAGGCATCTCTTTTAAGAAGACTTGATGTGTCACTCAGCTGTTTTTCCAGAGCCTGTGGCTCCTGGTTTAAATGTGAACTGCTGCTGAGAGTGGCTTGTGGAGCTGATGGGCATGGTTTAAGGCTGATGAGGGTCTGTGTTTAGAAAATGGTGTGTTTGTGTTACAGTGCATGTCCTCTCCCCAGCTGCAGTCCATCAGGGGAGGTGGTTTGCAATGGTAAAGCTCTGACTCCTCCTTGTGCCCACAGAGCATCACCCAGCAAGTGCTTCTTTCTCTCCCAGGTTGTACATTTAGACCTGGAGTGATCTGAGACCTGAGGGAGCCTTGATGTTTGTCTGGGCTCGTGGAAGGCAGGCACCAGGGGAGATGAGCTTCGGGCTTGGCCTTTTCCCTTGTCTTGGCTCCCGCTGCCTGGCCAGCAAGACCGGCTCAGCTGCAGCCCCACAGGCTGGCTCTGAGTTGATGTGTGGTGGTGTTAACAATAAAAATCCCGCTGAAGCTCAAGGAGTGTTATCTGCCTCTCAAGGGACACTGCAAAATAAATATCGAACCACTGCACACAGAGGCCGGTGCACTTGCTCGGTGAGGTGTGTTGGCCAGCTGCCTGCCTCGCGCTAGGGGCTAACGAACCAAGTGGCAACTTACTGTGACTAATTGGAAGTGCTCCCCATGAGAGCGGCTTGGGAGGCTGCTGTAAAAGACGGGGACAAATATTCCCTTCCCCAAGGGTTTACACCAGGATTTTGATGGCTCTTCGGCCTTTCTGACCAGAGCAAGCCAAGTGTTACCTGTCACTGCTCTACTGGCAGGATGACTGCCCGTCTCCTGAAAGGTCGATGTGCAGCTCTCCCTGATTGACAGGGAGGCAATTCTGAGTGCGTTTTGCACTTATTCTGGCGTCCTCTTCCCCACGAGACACTGTTCTTGTCAAGGGGTGACGGCTAGGAGCAAATTGGAGCGTCTTTCAAAATGCAGTTGGACATTTTGGTGTCAGAGGTCACAATGTGATGAAGGACTGGAGCAAGACATAGAGGCAAAGGTAGCAGTTCACTGGCATTGTCCATTCTTCACCCTTCTCCAGGCCCTTCTGTGTAGCTGGAGAGGATTTTGTTACACTAAACACAGACTTACTCTTTCAGTTTGACAAATTAGGGCAGGTCAAATTAAGGGAGATTGTTGCAGTAAGTGGTTCAAACATAATTTATCACTAATTTGGGGGTGCAGCCTTTGATTTAAATGTCTGTATCTCAACATTAGTGCCTCTGCAAGCTAAAATTGTCTGGAAAATACAGGATCGAAGATGACGCCACGATCCCTTTGCTGCGAGTGGCGGCAAAGTTAAACTGCAAGCTCTTTAATGTGCAGGAGATGTTATTTTCCAGAATACAAAAAAACATTACCCCCTTGTATGGCACATTTAGCTTTAGAAATCACCGCTGCCATAGGACTGTGTTGCAGGAAAAGAGAGCACATTAACTTGGAAACTGTGGCCCTTCTTTCCATTCTTGCTCAAGCTAACCAGCAAAACCTTTTTTTCTTTTTTTTTTTGAGTGCTGAAAATAAATATATAATTTTCCCAAGCTGTGCCTTCGCATGTTGTTAAATCATATATTATAGACCTTAGCAAAGAGTATTTTGTGATCCATGCTCCAGAGTGGCTGAGGTTGGAAAAACAACTCCCAGTTGTTTTTCTAATTGACTTATGCCCTTGCTCTCCACCGGCTGGACCTGCTTTTGGACTGTGAGCTCTGTGGGCATGAACTGGTATCTTCTGTGGGTTTGTGCTGTCCCTCACCTAGTCCTTGCCCAGCTTGGTCATTCTCTGAGAGCTGTCAGAGTCTGAACATCAATCATGTAACAGCAGAAAAAACATACGTGCGAGGGTTGAACGTGCTGTTAAATTGACAACAGTGGGCTCAGGATCAGGCCTTCGTTATTAACATACTACCTCCACTGTGGACCTAGCGTTTCTGCATAAACCTCACCTAGACCTCGTGGAAGTCATTTGGGGTCTTTCTGCCAAGTCCTGCTGGCTTGCCCAGACAAGGGACCGAATGGTTTCCTAGCAGGTTTGAAATGGTGGTGGTCCCAGGTTATGCCCCAGCTGGCTGGACTCCTGCTCAAAGGAAATTTGCTGTGTAGCTCTAAGATAAGCATCAGTCCTTTAAAGCGGTATCACAGGTGATACGTACACACTGTGGGATGATGTAGGTTGAAGGACATGTTTTCTGATACTCTGTTGAACTGCCAGGTATAATTCACCTGGTGGTTTCATTGCTCATGAATAATGACAGCAGTACAAACTCATGCTGAATAAGCTTTTCTGCAACATCACACCATCTGCTGTGACAGTCTCCTGCCAGGCTGATGGGTGAGGTATCAGGGTTTAGGACAGAAGAATTAATCACTCCTAATGAATAACTCCGTTTATGAAAGGTACAGATCTCCAACCTAGACCCTGGGATTTGACCCTCTTTGTGTAGTGAAGAAGAACCAACACGAAGCCATCGCACTTGTTTTCTTCCATGTGGCGATGCCACAGGAACGTGAAGTGCTTTCTGTTCCAGATGAGCGCAGGCCACCCCAGCACTCTAACAGATCCCCTGTCCTGCCAGGAGGTTTTTGGTGTGCCCTGGGGGACACAGACCACACTGGAGCCAACTGAGGTCACACGTAACTGAATACCAAGTCCCTAAATGCTGATGAAGCTTATGCATGGCTTGGCGTCCAGCCTCCTAAAACACAAGTGGTAAGAAACTGAGGCAGTGACTTTCAGAATTACAGTTTTTGGCTGGCGAAGTCAGACCCGGTTAAGATCCCATTTTAGACGTCCAAACCCAGTTTTGGCCCTGCCCTGAGATCCTATTTAAATCTCATCAGACATCGAGGATGTCAGCCTTCCTCTGCAGTGCATTCCCCAGTGCCTCAAGCCCTGCGAGCATATAGGCTGCCCTTGCTTCAGACCCAACTGGAGTGCTGAGAAACATCTCTGGAGGTAGGCAGAGGTTGGTAATTTTTTGTAAGCCAAAGCAGCCATCCAGGCAGGAGCTTCCAGGCCAGGCAGGAGCATTGGGACAGCAGAGTTTTCCAAAATAAGAGGAGCTGAGAGCGAGAGATACCTCTCAATCACTCCCTGTCCTGTTTACTAGTTTAATTGTGGGCATTTTGGTCTGCTCCTCTGCCTTTAGAGCCTGATATTTCCCTGGCTGGTCACGTGTTGTCCTTCCAGAGGTGATGGTGAGAAGAATTACTCCTTATCTCACTCCTTTACTGCCACAGAAGCTATTGCCCACATCCAGTACCTTTGGCACTTTGCTGACCCCAATCCTCCCCCTTTCTGCTGGCTGCAGTGCTTTGCTGAAGATACACAGTGAGCTAGGAGGGTTAGGTCCAAGTATTGCTATGCATTACTTAATATTTCAGCACCAATTTTCCATTTTTTCTTTCTGTAGCACCCCAGGAAATGTTGGTCACTTTGTGTTTCATTTACCATTTGCAGGAGGTGACCTCTGTTCCTCTGCCACTGAGCGTGGCTTTACCTATGTGCTGGGAAGGGAGAGTTGTCCCATGCCGGAGGAGAATGAGCATGCACTTGGGCAGTGGTGAAAATGGAGAGATGTCTCCCAACAAGCCTGCCAAAGGGCCAGCAGCTTATCCCACCCGGCACGAGCGTGATCTTTAACTTGGTTTGTACAGAGTCTGATGAGAGATGTCTCTGTCTTGTTTTACTAGATTCCCTGGTCGTAGTGGCTGATCGGATCGATGGACCGTACAACGTAGACACTGTAATAGGGACTATTCACATGAGGATCGCTGAAGCTATTTCTAACTTGCAAGAAAACAAAGATTCAATCACAGCCAAGGTAAGAGTGTGTGCCTGGGCCTGGCTGAGGGTACACCATGGGTAACTGCCAGGACCAAATGTTTTTTGTGCTCACTATTCAGCTGAACTAAAGGAGATGAAGGATGAAGGAGATCAAATGCCCACTCTTTTAATGATAGGAAACCACCCGTCTCACACAGGGAGAAACCTTCTCAAGTGTTTCCAAATATTCCTGCCTGCCACATCCATCCCGCGTCCTTCAGGTACAGACACACAAGGTGGGACTGCATATGCAGTGACTGTGGGAGGCATGGTGCCATTTGCTGTCGGGTACCTCTGTGTCTGAAGAGTCCTGAAGTATTTTGGCTGAGCTGAGGCATTTACAGAAAGCGCACAGTCCCTAGTGACAGAAGGCAGCTGCTTTAACCTGCCTTGGGGTGATGTGGAAACACTGGGCTATCAGGTTGTATCTGTGGGACAGAGTTGCAATCTGGCAATCCATCTGGAGAGTATAAAACAGGCTCTCCTGATGCTCACCTGTCTTCCAAGAAGTATATCATGAAGCTCGCTTCTGTTGGTCTTCTATTTTTAGTATATTTATCCACTTAACCACAATCCCCTCTGTAGCTGCAGGTAAAAGAAGCTCTGAGAACAAAAACAGTCCTCCAGGGCTTCTGCTTTTTGCCCAGACATTCCCCAAGTCTTGCAGCTATCCCACAGTTAGGGCAGAGATGCAGATGAAAGGTGCGGGGCAGGTCCTAACTGGGCCTTGGAGAAGAGAAGGGCCAGAAGTATTGCTTAGTCAAGCAGGAATTCACTGGCACACGTCAAAGCACTAACAGCAGCATGCATCCAAGTACTCGTTTAGGTTTCTCTTCTGACATGAAAGGCCATATTCTTTCTTCCCTGGTTAGGTGAGACTCAGGTTGTCCACATAAAAGCAAGCCCATGATGTGGGAGAACATGGCATCATCTGCAAAGAAAGGTGTTTCTGAGGGGCATCTGGTAATCCAGTAAAATGGAAAGGAGTAAATAGTCTAACTGGTGTTCAACTGGAGCAACCAAACATGTTTGATAAGCTTCTCAGTATGATCTGGTGACCAGCTGAATGTGGCAGTCTTTGCTGGTGGCACTGGTAGCAGAGGTCAGGAGCTGCCAATTGCTGCAGCTCTAAGCTCTGGTTTTGAGCACGGCAAAGTGATCAGGTAAAGGATATCATTGTCAGATGAGCTCGGGACTGGCCCAGGCCAGTCCTGGGAGTCTTGTCTGTCAGGGCTGAGGGCAGCAGGCTCGGGCTGCAGCTGAGGGCTTCAACCATTACCAGCCTAGAGCCAGGGCACTGTCTGCTGTTTGTGAGAGGAGCCAGAAGTGGCCCTTGGACCCAGTGTCGCCCTCATCATGGGTTCTCCAGGGATATAGGGAAAAACTGGAAAGAAACACTTGGTACTGAGCCCTGTGTTCACTGCACCGCAGAGCACTCTCCCTGCTTCCTCGCACTCCCCCTCCCTGTGGCTCTCTGGTGGATTTCAGGTGGCAGGAGCTATCAAAGGCTGCAAACGTCTGCTCTCATTATGCAGGAGACTGTTGATCCCCTCAGTCTGCAGGACATGTGTTCTCTCCATCAGTAATGGGCGTTGCTCACCTAAAGTCCTTGGGCTGGCAAGAGGATCACCTTGATACCACGCTGTGCTGGAGCTGCTACAGGAGCCACTGTCCTGGAGACTTCCTAGGTCTTTTACCTCCTGAAAGAGTTGTCTCCTGCTAACGACAGTAATAGGCCAATAAGAAAGATACAGCAGTGAAACCAAATTGGTTTTATCTTGGTAGAAAATAAAATGCTCTACATGCAGTTTTCAAGGTGGAGCTTTTCGCACAGAGCAAAGGAGACAGATGCACAAATTGGCTTGGTGCTGAACTGCCACAGTTGTTGGATCCATCTGGTCAGCAGGACAGTGCAGCCCAGAAGAATCATAGAATCATAGAATCAT